AGTAGAAATATAACACAATGATATAAAAAGAGTGTTTATGTAAGAGGAAATGTGAAAGACTAAACGTCAAGTGCAGAGATGCTCAAACTCTTTAGCGGGTGACCAGACAAATGCAAATAAAACAATAATGAGATAATACCTCAGTCAGGGTAGGAAAAATCAGACAGCTGGATAACATCAATCATATGGGAATATAGGAATCTTCTGCTCTGTGTGTGGGAGTGTGCACTGGGGCAGACACTGAGAATAATATGTCTGTACTTAGTCAAAGGGAGACATATATTTATAGCTTATGACCTAGCAAGTCCACTTCCAGCTTCTACGTATATAACCCAGAGAGATTCTCACTGAATCCATAGGTGAGCAGGGCTGAGGGTGTGCACTGCACCTCTGCTTGTTGGAGGGGAGTTGGGTGCAGTTGGATGTCCCTCCCTGGGATAGTGGAGAGGCCAAAGCGGGGGGTTGCTCCCACAGCGATGAAAACACCTCAGCGTTCACAGGGCAACCGGACTGGATCTTAAAACCATAGTGCTGGCTGAAAGGAGGACCGACAGAACAAGGCCTAGAACACAGTGCTGGTAATGTATAGAGATCAGTTCAGTTCAGTCGCTCAGTTGTGCCCGACTCTTTGTGACCCCATGGACTGCAGCACACTAGGCTTCCCTGTCCATCACAGCCTTGTTTAACTCAATGAAACTATGAACCATGCCATACAGGGCCACTCAAGACGGACAGGTCAGGGTGGAGAGTTCTGACTAAACATTCTGACGCCACTGGAGTCAGGGGAATGGCAATGGTCCATTGGAGAAGGGAATGGCAAACCACTTCAGTGTTCTTGCCTTGAGAACCCCATCAACAGTGATGTATAGAGATACATACACTGTATGGTCAGGCCACCAACACTCAAGGCTGTTCTCTTGCCTGGTGTACATCCCCTGCCCGACCAGTGCCTGCTTCACTTGCACCCTACTCACATGATTGACCTTCCTATGTACTTGCCCCAGGGCCCAGCTAGTGATAGCTTATCAAAAGGGCGGTGAGGGGCATGCCTCTCTGCTGGTTTCCCTGGTAACTAATGACAAACCAGATGCCAATTCCCCCCACAATTGGCAATCTCCTCTTCCCCTTTGGGACAAAGACTGAAGCCAAGTCCTGCCTACTGTCCGCTATACATGGTAGGGTGTTGCTCTAGGACTTTGCTTCAGACGTGTAAGCTCCCCCATCCATTAAACCACTGATGTGCCTATTGCTGACTCCAGACTCTTTCTCTAGACTTGAAACTGGGCAAGCAGAGCATGTGTAGCCCAGTAGGGTGCAGCCCAACACACATATACACACACACTCACACACACACCCCAAACCAACTGAAAACAGACATTCTGAGAATCTGGTTCTGGATTGGATAGAGATGATGGTGGTGCAGTTGGGCAAGAAAATGTATAATGTTGGGGGTATGCATAGCTGAAAAATATAGGGGTAAAATGGCACAATGTATGAAATTTACTTTCTAGTGGTTCAGCAGAGGGGAAAAAGATGAAACAAATGTGTTGTAGGCAGGGATTTAAGCAAGATTTTAAGGTAAAATCTTGATAAGTTTTGAATCTGAGAGATGAATATATGGGGGGTTGCTGTACTATTGTCTCTGTTTTTGTGTATGTAGTAAAAATTTCATAGTAAAACAAAATGGAATCAATTTTGATATGTATTTTCAAGACTGTGTTCACCTAGTCCTTGGCGTTTCAGTGGTTATGACTCTGCTTCCAGTGCAGGAGGCGCAGTTTTAAGCCCTGGTCAGGGAACTAAGATCCCACATGCGGCGAGGCAGCTATGCCTGAGCACACACGAGTAGGGAGTCCATGTGCTGCAATGAAGATTCTTTCTGCTGCAACTAAAACCCAACACAGACATAAAAATAAACAAATTTATTAATTTTTTTAAAAAACCTGCCATGGTTTCCTTTTATTTTTTTAAGTAGAAAATGAAGACAAAGGGGAAGGAAGGATAGAAGAGAGAAAACAAGAGTGATCAATGAAAATCCCATTTGTCCTCAGGAGGATAATTAACTTTTTGCACCTGAAGTCCAATAGAAGGAGGAGGACTTCCCTGGTGGTCCTGTGGTTAACAATCTGCCTGCTAGATCCCCGGTCTGGCATGGTCCCACATGCCTCGGGGCAACTCAGCCCTTGAATCCTAGAGCGCATGCTCTGAAACAAGAGAAGCCACTACAATGAGAAGCCCTCACACCACAACTAGAGAATAGCCCCTCCACTCGCTGCAACTAGAGAAAGCCTGCACACAGCCACAAAGACCCAACACAGCCAAAAACAAATAATTAAAAAAAAAAACCAGAAAGAAATTGATACCCCTTATTGAACTGAACTGATACCTCTACCACTATGGCATTTTAATTATTTCTGTCTACGCCTCTCCCCTTCCTTCCTGTGCCCACCTTACTTTTCCACCTGGCTGTCACCATGATGGCCACATCACCATATGCCTCCCTTAGAAACAGGAATGCCCTTCTGCTTACTGAGTGCCAGCACTGAGCTAGGACTCACTGGTGTGTGATCTCGATTCATCCTCTCAGTAACATTGTGAGTGAGGTCAGTCCCGTGTCCTGGTCTCCATTTTACAGATGCAGAAAACTGAGCCCAGGATTGTGGTTCTTAGCTGGAATTTCAAACAGCTTGGTCTCAGATGCTCAGGATCCCTTGACTAAACTAAGGTGATCCAATTGATTCTTCATCATCACCATTATTTTTGAATGAATGAATGTGAAGTTACTTAGTCGTGTCCAACTCTTTGCTACCCCATGGACTGTAGCCTACCAGGCTCCTCCATCCATGGGATTTTCCAGGCAAGAGTAGTGGAGTGGGCTGCCACTTCCTTCTCCAGGGGATCTTCCCAATCCAGGGATGGAACCTGGGTCTCCTGCATTGCAGACAGACGCTTTACCATCTGAGCCACCAGGGAAGCCCATTATTTTTAGGGCCTGCCTAATAGTCCATTATATTGCTCTAACTCCCTGTAATTTACTAACAGCCCTCCTATTGCTGAGTATCTGGGCTCTTTCTAGTTTTTTACTTTCATTGACAGTCCTGCAAGGAATTTTTTTGGGTATAAAGCTTCTGGACTCTGTGGCATTATTCCCTTACCAGGAGTGGGTGAGGGTTAGGTTATTTTGTGTTCACACAGTAGACCTCATTATGGCAGTTAATTCACATTGAGGTAGTTTTCCTGAGAGGAAGTGCAGGCATGGAGGCAGGGCATCTGTGAGGAGAGAGGGCAGGAAATGTACGGGGTGGGTGGGGGGTGAGGTCTTAGGCCAGGCAGGAAGTTGGATCCTGATTGATTTCTGTGGTCTTCACGTTGTGGGGGTGGGGGTGGGTCTCTGGCCAGCCCCAGGGACTGGGCAGGCCTGTGGGACCTGAAGCTGCTGTGTGTTGGAGGGGAGTGCCTGTGATCACTATCCCTGGGGTCACGGCAGCTCTCTGGCCCTTTGGCAGCCGCCCTGGCCAGCCTGGGAGGGGTCAGCTGGGGATAGGCAGCATGTAAATATAGATCCGGGGAAGGAAGCCAGGCGGCCCAACCCTGCGCTGACCTCTCTTGGGAAGGTTGGAGGGCTGCGGGAGTGGGGGTGGGGAGGGATTATGTCCTAGCATCTTCCTCTCTGGGGATGGGCAACCCCTGACCCAGCAGCCCCCTGGAATTGCTGGAAGTGGCTGGGGGAGGGGAGGAGACAGGGCCTCCAAGAGGATCACAGTTGGGGACTGGTGAGAAGGTGGTCAAGAGATGCTGTTCTGTGACCCATGGCAAATTGTGTTTTCTCTCTGGCAATTTTTTTCTTTTCTTTTTCTTTTTATTTATTTGGATGCTCTGGGTCTCAGTTGTGACATGTGGGATCTAGTTCTCCGACCAGGGATCAAGCTGGACCCCCTGTATTGGGAACAAGGAGTCTTAGCCACCAGACCACCAGGGAAGTCCCTCTCTGGCAATTTCCCTTAGAGGTGCTGTCCAGCCTGATGAATGACTAATCCAGCCCAGACCCCTGGGAGCCCCCCAACTCTGGGAGGGGAATTCCCGCCCAGCCCTCGCTCTACCATATATGCATTTATTAGGAAAACCTATTTCCCACCTTCAAGGGGAAGGATGTTAGCAGAGTGACTTTTTCCACTTGGCAGTGATCAAGGAGCAAAGGGTGGGGACAGGGACATCCCATTCAGAATAACAAGACCAGTGGCTAACTCTGCCGAACTCTTGCTTAGGGGTCTGTGCTAAGCAACCACTTTACAGGCACTGTCTCCTTTAATCCTGATAGTGATCCTACAAAGTGGGTACCATTATCGTCCCCATTTTACAGATGAGAAAATTGAGGCATAGAACAGTGAAGTGGTGGGAAGCAGTTGTCAGCCTTCAAGAGGTACCCGAGAGTCCTCTCTCAGCCTCCTTTCTTTTCTGTCACACCCCAATCCCCAGTTTCAACCATCTCTCACTGCTTCCAGTTCTTTCAACTCTTTATATTTTTCTTTTATAAAAAAAAAAAATAGATTTTGCCCATATTTTGCAGCCACCACTGTCTCCTACCCCAGTTGGTCGAATTGGGATTCTCCCCAAGATTTGGTTTAAGTGGAGTTGAGGACAATCAGGGTATACGTATATGCATGTGCATGTGCGTAGGTGAAGAACAATGGAAGCTCTGAGAATATACAAGGTATAAATTACAAACCTCCCTCTCTCCCCCTTTCCATCTCCTCTCTATCTTCCCATCCTCCCCCCACCCCCCTCCAAATCAAAAAGACTGTACACTGCCCCCCACCCCCAACCCCAGGGCAAGGTCTTGTCTCAGTCACCTCTGTGGCCACAGGGTCCAGGGCCTTTGGTACAAGTTTGTGGAATGAATGAATGAGTGAATGAATGAGAGCATGGGAGAGAGAGCAAGCACTTAGGAGTCCTGGGTCTCAGCCCTGACTTTGTCCTCACCTGATCCTTGCCGTTACCAGGATACCTCCTCTGCCCAGAGGAAGAGGGTCCCAGTACAAGCAGAGAAGGGGAAGAGAGGGACCAGCAGGCACATCTCTAAGCCTGGAAAGGTGGGTGACTGAAGTAGACTCTGGCCTCAGAGGTCAAATTCCAGCTGCCTGGCTCAGGAGCTGGGTAACCTTGGGCAGGCTTGAAGAGTGATGACTATTGTCTAATAGTCTGTTCAGATTTTACAGAGCCCTTTTTTCACATTTATCTTTGGTCCTCAGAAACCATCCTGTAATGTGGGTAGGATTATCAATATACCCATTTTACAGATAAGGAAGCAGAGGTTGGAGAGATCCAGGGACTTGCCCAAGGTCATATAGCAAGCAGGAATTTGAATCCCCACCCCCCCACCAACTCCCACCTTGTTACCGCCCCTGTCTGTGCCTTGAGGAGGTAGGACTTAGATTTCAGTCTTCCAGGCTGGGACCCTCAGGTAGCAGTGTGGCCCAGGAGGGGCTGCATAGTGAATCCCCTACTTTGGGCTCCACTAGTCATTTCCATCCAGAAAAGCCAGTCTACCCTTCATGCAAAGCTTCCTAGACACCCCCTCCTTCCCCCACCCATGTCCCTGGGACCTCCACTGCTGCCCAGTGGAGGTGGGCAGGAACTTCTGCTTTTCCTGGGAGAATGGGGAAATGAAATGGTGGAGGGGGCTCTAGGGCCCAGGCTCTCCCCTCATACAGGCATGACCACCTCATCATATTCATCCTGACCATTCTGCTCATCTAAGATCGGTTTGACATCGTCAGCATCCAGCTGTGGGAAGAAGGAAGGACAGAGGGTGAGCGGCTGAGGGGCCACGTGAGCCCTCCCCACTGCACAGAGGCACTTCTGGAGTCAGCAGAGCCTGTCTCTCTCTGAACCTGGGTCAAGTCTCCCGTCCTGTCCTTTCATCCCCTAGGGATGGTCTAGATGAGGGGTTTCCTCAGGGTTAGGAACGCCCTGGAATCTGGTCCCTGGTGGGGGAGGGCCTCCAGAAGGCAGGCAGGAGGCCCCTTCATGTGGGCAATGAAGCGGTGACCTGTGTCTCGTCGTGGAAGCATTCTGTTGGAGCAGTGACTAGCCAGACAGTTTGGAAGACCAAGGGCTAGCCTCTCAGTGGTCAGGACAATTCACTAGCAACACATCCCACGAGCCTCTTAGCCCTCTCACCAGCCCTGTCACTGTTCTCCTCTTTCCAGGTGAGAACGCCTGAGGTACAGAGCAACGAGACCACTTGCTCCAGGTCACCCACCAGGACGTGGTGGGGCCGGGACGAGGAGGCAGGCCTGGATACTCAGACGTCGATCATGGCGCTCTTCTGCCTTCCCTAGTTCCCAGACCCCTCGCCACCACATTCTCCCAGAGTCACAGATGACCCCTCTCTACCCCCTGCCCTGGAGTGGTGCCCTCTGGTCAGAGGAAATGGGTGAGGGGGATAGGGGTGGGAGCAGAGACTCACAAACTTGAGCTCCATGTCCCGGAAGATGAGTGGTAGCAGGAAGCGGCGTAGGGGCACCGTGAGGATGAGGATGAAGGGGAGGGCCAGCGAGATTTGTTTGATGCTCCTTACTACCCACAGTATCACAAGGCAGACAATCTGGATGATCGTGAACATGTGCATGCGCCAGGTTTTCACCTGTGGGCGGAGGCTGGGGTCATCGCCTGCCCGGCCTGGGCACCCAGACCCCCCACCCCACCCCAACCTAGGCATCCAGGTCGGCCACATACCCTCATGGCGTAGGGCACGTCTGGGTAGTGCTTGCGCGGCTTCAACAAAAGCAAGATGCGGTCAAACAATTGGATGCCACTGAGGGATGTGACCCCCATGTAGAGGAAGATGCCGAAGAGCACTGCCAGGGGGATGTGGCGGAGGATGGGTCCCATGAGGATGGACACACCTGCAGGGAGAACCACGCACTCTTAGCCCCCAAGGATCAAGGATAGGCACCAGCAGGGGCTGAGGAATGAAATCACAGGGACTATATGGAACTCCTTCTGTAGATCCTCTTTTTTTTTTTTTTTGGCCATGCCACATGGCTTGTAAGATCTCAGTTCCTCTACCAGGGACTTGAGCCCGAGCCCACAGCCATGAGAGTGCCAAGTCCTAATCACTGAATGGCCAGGGAAGCCCCTGGATCCTCTTGATAGATGTTATCTGCATTTTACAGGTGAGGAAACGGACGCAGAGAGGTGAAGCAACTTACATGAGGCTACACACTCCTGCCTGCCTGATGTCATAGCCTACGCCTTTAATCGAGGGAGTCACAGAGGTCAGAGAAGCCCACCTTTCCTCTTACCCCAGTCCACAATGCCTCCATCACCCTCCACCTACCCAAATCCCAGCTCTCCTCCAGCTAACATCAACTTTGCCTCTTTCAGGAAGCTTCCCATGCCTCTCCAACAGTGACTGTGGCACTGCCCCCACATGGAGCCCCTTGGACTCTGGGCTGATCCAGAGCTCAGATCCCTGAGCCTCTGTCTTCATCTCATCCATCCCCTGCTCCAGGAGCCCTGCTGTTTGTATCAGTCACAGAGGGGCTGGGCCGGGGAGACCTCGGGCATCTAATGAACCCTCTCATGGGGAACTTGAGGCCCAGAGATGAGATGGGATGCCTGGTTAGCAGTCAGTCAGGGCTGGAATCACAGTTCACTGAACTGTTGGAGAAGCTCTGACTACAGGGTCTTATCTAGAGAAGGTTCCAGCAAGTGGTCCCCCCATGTGCCCTGCACAGATGCCCATCATCTCAGTGCCTGGGGCACTTCCTCCAGAATTCCCTCATGTGAATAACTGACGCTGGGGAGATGTGGGCAGTGGGTGTTTGGGGAGACCTAGCTGCAGGGCCAGGGCTGGAGGGACACTGGATGCTAAGGGGCAGAGCCAGCGGGTGGTGGAAAGTTTGGAGAGTGTGGCCAGTCTTCACTCACCCACGAGCACAGCAACCAGAAGTCCACTGATCCGCTGTTCCTTGACTCCCTGAATCTGGGATGTAGCCCCTGGAGTGCTGTCCTTGCTCGTGACAGTGAGGGCATTGGCGTGGGTGATAGAGCGCACAGTGGTGGCGCTGAGCCAGGGCATCCCAAAGATGGTGGCCACCCCACCCATGCCCACGATCAGCAGCAGGTCCAGGTGGAAGCCAGAGCCCTTGACCATCTTGCGCTCCGGTTTGCTGATGATCAGCCTGGGGGTGCAGAAGGTCAGGAGTAAGCAGGGCTCCCCTTCACCCTAACCCCCCTTCACCCCTCTTTTCTTCCCCAGACTTGGGTCCCTCTACTTTAGTTGGTCCTTCTTTGCCCTTCTCCCTTGGAGTTCCATGCTCCGCCCCCCAATCCCCACCCATCTTGACAGTAGAGACTCTAAGAGCAGAAATGTCTTCATCATCGCCTAGAACACCCAGCAGCAGTTCTATTCGGAAACTGAAGAAGCGTACACTTCAGAGAACCTCACCGGTACAGGCCCTTTCCAAGATCTAGCACCTAATTTTACAGTTTTCATTTTATATTCTTTTTCATAAAAAGCACCCCTCAAATAATGTCATGTCTGGTCCCACAAAATCTGGACCAGCCCCTGCCCGCCCGTCATTCCTCTGAGCACTTAGTCCTTTGCCTGCTGGGAGCTTGTCCCTTTCTCTGCCTCGGACCCTCCCAGGCCCCATCCCACCCTGGCTCTTACGTGGTGATCTGGGACTCAAGGAAGATGAGGATAAAGACCAGCAGGGCAGGCAGGGCAGAGGCAAACATCATCCAGATGGGAAATTCGACACGTATGCCTAGTGGGTGGATAAGCCAGTCTCGCTCTGTGGGGTTAGATACAGTGAGGCCTTCAGGTACACTGAGTTTCTGTGGGAGGAGAATGCTGGTGAGAACACTGGGGGCAGGAGGATGGGGAAAGGTGGGGACCGAAGGAGCCAGGGTCCTGGGCACTTGGGAACTTACTTATATTGAGCATCTACTTTGTACTCTATAACTGCACTAGGCCCTTTATATACATTTTCTCATTCCCTACTTTATGGATGAGGGAACAGGATCAGAGAAGTTATGCAGCTGGCTCTGCATCGCACAGCTATTTGGTGGCAAAACTGAGACTCATACTCAGGACAGCCTGGGCTCCAAAGCAGATTCTTTCCTATCGCCCTGGATTAAGGAGTAAAAGGAGGCCACTTGACCCAGGCCCTTGATGCAGCCGGAAGGGTCCTGAGGGGCTGTGGGAAGAACACGGGGCCCCCAGGAGAGGCAGGGATGGGGGAGGGGTAGTTCTAACTGGCTTCCAGTATGGGAAGGCGGTTTAGGGGAAGGGGCATGCTGGGGAATGAAATAAGGTGGCGGGGTGGGGAGAGAGGGTCACCTGGGTGTAGGTGTCTTGGATGAGGGCATCCACCATGACCATGATCAGGATAGAGATAGGAACCCCGAAGTCCCCAATGATCCGTCGCAGCTGAGGGCAGGTGGAGGGGCCAGCGGTCAGTGCCCAGTGGCTTCCCACCTCCCACCTTCCACGTGGCCCCACTCCTGCCCCATCTTCACCAGGAGGTGCCCACTCTTCTCAGGGGGTCCATCAACATCTGATAACCTGTCCTGCGCCTCTACGTACCTGCCTCCTTTCTTGTCCCCCTGGCCCCGCCGCACCCCAGCCCCACAGCTTTTCCACCCCCTTTGAAGAACTATCCTTGGCTCCCCACTTGGGTCCTCAGCCTGGATGTGCTGAGAAAGGAGTTGTCTCAAGGGTAAAATCCTAAGTGATGAGGGGGCCAGCGGAGCTTGGAATTGGAAATGGGAATCTAGGGTAAGAAGGGGAAATGATGGCACTGGGAAAGCTGAGGCCTTGGAGTTGGATGGGACAGTAAAGGCAAGGACAGGTGGGGAGGGTGTGCTGACCTTGCCAGGGAAGTAGGAGCTGTTCTTGAACTTGCGCAGCATCATGGCGAGGAAGAAGGTGCCAGCCATGAGCACAAGAGAGAGGAGGGCTGTGTTGGGCAGGGCGGCCTGAGGTTTCGGTGTTGTCGGCACATCGTGTTGATAGTTCTTCTGCAGTGGATGTTCCTGGAAGATCTGCAGCAGAAAACCAAGGCATCCTGTTCCTTCCCATCCAGCCATCCTCCAACCATCATTTATCTATCCATCATCCATCCATGCATCTCTGTATTCACCATTTATCTCTCTATTCAGCATCCATTCACCAATCCTTCATGCATCTACCTATCTTATTCCTCAATTGTTGTGTAAACAGAGAGGCAATGGGATTCCACAGCTTGGTTTTCAGGACTGAGGACCAAGCTAGGCTTGGGTGGGGCAGACCATAGAGGAAATGAGTCTGTGTGTGTGTGTGTGTGTGCATGCATGCAGGGCCTGGGAGCTATGAGAAGGCTGGAGGGCAGGAAACAAGTGCCAAGGAAGTTTCCAAAGAGACTTGGGCTCCAAAGACTTGGAAACAGAAATACCCATCAACCAGCAGAATCAGGGGTAGATACAGTATTCACCCTTCCTCCATATAAAATGCAGACCCAGAGGTAGGCATAGTTCAAGGTAACAGAGATGAGGAGTCAGGGCACATGCTCTGCAGGCCCTGTGGTTCTTAAGGGCAACAGCAGGAGAGGGAGCGGCGGGTTGGGGCTTCAGAGCCTCCAGGACCTCTGCTACCATGCCACGCCTACTCATTCCCACATTCAGTCTCACACACAGGAAAGTGAAAGTGCTAAGTCGCAGCCAACTCTTTGTGATCCCATGGACTGTAACCCACCAGGCTCCTCTGTCCATGAAATTCTCTAGGTAGGAATACTGGAGTGGCTTGCCATTCCGTTCTCCAGGGGATCTTCCGAACCCAGGAATCAAACCTGAGTCTCCCGCATTGCAGGCAAATTCTTTACCATCTGAGCCACCAGGGAAGCCCATTAGTCACTGTATGTGATTATACACATGGGCCTTTGCACGCAGAAGGGCCCTCTCATGCATAGTCATGGTGAGAATACCAGCCCACAGACAGCTGGTGTCAACATGTATGTGCTCACAGTCACATTCTGTGAAAACGTGGCCACATAAATGCCAAACAGACACTAGTGCAATGACACCCACAGATGCATAACTTGTGCACAGTCACACACACACACACACACACACACGTGTATGCGCACGCCTCTAACACTCCTGCAGCCCTCACCGTGACCAGCTTGTAGAAGGTCTCATAGATGAAGATGAGGGAGATGAGGAAGGAGAAAATCTCCTGGGTGTAGCGGGAGATGAAGCGGACCAGAAAGCTGCCCTCGAAGGCCACCACCAGCATCACCAGCAGGATGAGCCAGAAGCCAATCCACACACGGCCCACAATGTACTCCAGGTTGTTAGTCTGGCAGAACTGTAGGGTGGTCAGAGGGAGCTGGGGTCAGATACATGGGCCCAGGCACCATGCATTAAGCAGGTGGGGCCGGGGGCCAGTTACAGGGTCACAGTGGGGCCAGAATAGAGTTACCGAGAAGAAGGCTTCCTCAAACACAAGCAGGGGTCCCGAGAAGCCCAACACGAGCAGGGGCTGAGCCCCCAGCAGGGAGAAGATGATACCCTGCACTGCAGTGGAGAGGAGCAGTTCCGACACTCCCATCATGTTCTGGGTCTTGTCTCCTGTGGGAGGAGGTGTGGTCAAGGTCAAGATCATTTCACGGGTAAGCTGATGTAGGGGCCCAGAGTGTCAGATCAGGGCAAAATCGGGGCTGATACGTAGGCCAGAGGGTCAGAGGTGAGGGTTAGTGGGACACATGGAGGCACTGACCCAGGAGGCCGCCGAAGGTGATGGCGGGGGTCAGGGCGGCGAAGTAGATGAAGATGATGGCAGACAGGACCTGGGGGCTCAAGGCATCTGTGATGTCACTCAGGTAGTGGGGGTAGCGGCGCCGGATGTCACGCACCAGTCCCCCGAAGAGCCTGCCTGTCCGCTGCAGAGGGTCTTCTGGGGTGTCCCCTGGACCTTTCTTCACATCTGTAGTGGAGGGCAGGACCATGGTCACAGAGGATTGGAGGGGGAGGTGAGGGGAGAGGGGAATCGAGGGGGAGATGCCGGATGGGAATGGGGTCATCTGGGAAGCTGGGAGGGATGAGGACAGGGAGGGGGAGCCAGGGGCTCACAGGGCTGTGCTGGGGGTCTGGGGGCTCAAAAAACTTGGGCTGGGCAGGGCAGGGCAGGTACCTAGGTCCTTGAAGAGACTGGGGTCGGGCTTGGCAGGGCTGGGCAGGTAGCGCCTTCTCAGCAGCTCTTTCTGCACAGGCACCAGACTGAGCAGGGCCTTCTCAGAGGGGGCATCCAAGGGAGGCAGCACCAGACTGCAGTCAAGGAAGCCCTCCAGGGACTGGACCAGCGTCTCCTTGCTCTGGGCCAGGTATGCCTCATTCCAGAACACCTGGGGGCAGGAGAGAAGGTCAGAGCCACTAGGACCTGCTGGATAAAAGGACCCAGGAGGCCACAGCCAAAGCCTCTGGGGATCAGAATCCTTTCACCCAGCTCCTGCCAGCTAGGATCTGTTTTTCCTGCCCTGTCCCTCCATCCATCCACCCTCTACTGAGAAAGGGCAGACAGGGCCCTGAGGGGGGAAAGCAGAAAGAACTAAAGTGAACCAAGTGGCTTGTAGCAGACCAAATGGAACAAGAGCAGACCAGACCAGACCTAACCAGGTAGAACCAAGACAGAGTGGGCTAGGCTAAACCAGGCCTGATCAGGCAGGGCTAGGCCAAAATACGGGCCTGGATCCCCATGGCCAGACAGGATAGATCCAACTGAATGGGCCAGACTCGTGACATTAAAGTAAGCCGGGCCTCCCCTGCCACCCAGGGCCCCCGGCTCCCCCGGCCCTCGCCAGCCCCTCCTCACCCTCTCCGACATGAGGGTGGCAGCAGCTCGGCCCAGCTGGGTGTAGTCGAGGTTGGGGCTCTCGGGTCCCAGCAACACAATGAGGAAGCGCACAGGCACTGCCGGCTCCTCTGACCCCTCTGGCTTTGGCTCCGGCTCCATCGGCTCCTTTAGCCTCACGAAGCCCAGCACCGGCCGCTTCAGGAAGTTGGCACGGCCTGGTGGGTGGACGAAGTGAGGTGCTGAGGCCCGTGGGGGAGGTGGGGGGCACGGGGGCAGGGCGCAAGCAGTGCTGGTGGGGTCCAGGCTTACGGAGGGGCTGTGCCAGGGCAGGAGGCAGAAGCAGGGAGTGTGCAGGGATGAGGGAAGGGGCCCACTGGCCACTTACCCACTAGCATCAGGGTGGCCTCCCAGTCCTGGGGACTCTTTCCCAGAATTTCAGATGCGTGCCCTCCCGTGCTACCCTCTCCCTGTTGGGAGGAGGTGGTGAGGGGAGTCCTTGGCCACTGCGGGCCCTGGACACCCGAGCGTCCCACCCCCTATCCCCCACCCGCTCTCCTTTAGAACCACGTTCAGGTTGAGGGCCTTCCGGCTCTCCTCACACGGCCTCAGCACAGCCTCACCTGTTCACAGAAGAGCTCTGTCTCCAGTGACGGATGCTGTGGGAGCAGAGGCTCCAAAGCGTCCCCAGACTGTGTCACGACCACAGGCTTCACACCCCCCAGGGCCTCCATGTTGCTGGCGTGGCTGCAGGACACACAGTGGACATGGGCTGAGAAGGCTGCTCAGGCCGGGCTGTTTGCAGAGTGGAGACTGGGACTCGCCCGCGGCCAGACTAGAGAGGCCCGGGGATGGAAGGAGAATCGGCCTCCTCCGAAGGACGTTGTGGTTGTAAGCGGGTGGCCTCAGTCTGGACTGACTAGGTAGAGCCAGAAGAATGGATGGAGGGAGGGACTTTGAGAGTCGGTCCTCCTGGGGACCAGTGGCCCCCAAAACTAGGCATGGAGAAATAGTTACCACCTGAGAGGTGTCGGAGGCAGGAGACATGGTGCAAGAGAAGTGGGACCCAGCCTGGTGGGGAGGGGCTCCCGGGGAGAGCTTGGGGCAGGCGGGCTGGGGAGGTAGGCCCTGTGGGCATGGGGTCCAGGGCCCAGCAGGCAGGGGCACCTGTGTTTCAGCAGCAGGACCCGGAGCAGATTGTCTCGGTCGTCTGGCTGGATCTGCCCCTCGAAGATAAACCTGTCCAGCAGCTGGTCAGCCACCTCGGCCAGGGCTTTCCCCGGCAGATCCAGAAGGACAGTACCTGCAGGCAGTGGAGGGGTGAGCTGGCTGGCCCTGCCTCCGCTCCCTTTTACATGCAGGGCTGCAGAGGTTTCACCTACCCTTGGTGAAGGCTTTCTGCAGCTCCAAGAGGCTCCAGAAGTTGAGGTAAGGCAGGTGGGGGCGGCCCCAGATCCCATCTTTGCCCAGGTTCTCCTCCAGCCCCACCCAGCGTGCTGTTTCCATCCATTGTATCTCTTGGTTCTTTTCATCCATCACCAGTTCCCGCAGTTTCACGTACACCTGCGGCCCCACAGGCTTGAATTAGTCCCTCAGGCCCAGGGCAGGGCTGTTGGGGGGACTGGCAGCCCAGGGTACGGTGGGCACTTCGCAGGCCCTGAAGGGTGTCTGTCAGAGGCCCAGGGTCCTGGGGCACTCAGGACCGAGCCTGAGCTCAGAGGGGACCATCAGGGGCGACAACCTGGGGGTGTAGAGTGAGATGTGATACGTGGGGAGATGCTTGAGGGTCCCCCACCTCTGCTTCTGCCCCCCAACTTCCTGACCAGGCCCCTCCCCCATTTCAGAGACATTTGAAGATACTCAAATGGGGTGCTAGAGTGGGCACGGGAGAGGAGAGGAAAGCCTTGGGAGTCACTGGGTCTGTCTCTTGCCTCTAATGTTTCTGCGTGGACTCAGCATGCCCTTGGGTTTCCATGAGGAGGGGCCCACTCCCAGGGTCCTAGCTGAGGGCAGACCCAATTTCCTAACTGGCTACACAGGCTGGTGCCCAGCAATGACATGGGGGGGCCTGGGGAGGGAAATCTGGGTTGAGGAGAGCATGCATGTAATTCTGTGCTTCTCCAGGGGGCACCGGACACCCTGGCCCGGGCCAGCGGACCTGGGGGCTCAGACCTCCAGCGGTCAGTTTACCTCTGTCCAGGGAGCTCCCCATGAATGCAAGGAGGCCCAGGTCTCCCCCTTCACTGGGAGATGTCCTCTTCTACCTATTCCCCAGGATGCCCATTCCTTCTCTGTTTGTGGAGTCTCCCCATCCCAAAGCTGTAGCTCTCCCTCCGTCCCTCCCCTCCCCTGGTAGAATGATGGGTCCCAAGGGCAGCACAGGAAAGAAGGCTGGGGGGCGCTGGGGTGCTCACCTTGTGGGTTTCTGGGTATTTCGATGTGGTGTGGTAGTCTGTGTCTGTCGGCTGGGTGACCCGAGCTGAAAACCCCAAAGCCAGTTAGCGATGCCCCCAGACAATCCCCCCAAGACCCTCCTGCCCCATCCCCACGAGATGCGGAGACCACACAGGATGACGCCTCTCTCCTTCTCGTTGCCCCTGGCTGGGATCCTGCCTGCTCCTGGCCCAGAATGGCACTGTCACTCGCCATCTGAGCCCTGTGGAGGACCCCTGGGGCTCATTCCCCGCCCCCCCCCCCCGCCCCCCGCNAGCCAGGATTGTGGGAGAACTGGCCCTGGGGCTGGGCCGGTGGATAGGGGAAAGAAGGCAAAGACAAGCTCCCCAGCTGTCAATGATGGGGTTCAGCAGCTCATCCCAACAAGAGGGCGGAAGATGGGCTCACCTTCTGCCTCCTCCTCCTGAATTGTGTCACCTTCTGCCTCTTCCACTGTGATCGTGATGGATCCATGGTCTTCATATTCCTCTTTGTCTAGAATCTCCTCCAATTTATCTTCATACTCCTGTGAGAAGCTGCCATTAGGGCTGGGCTGTGGGAGGCTCTGAAGGTGGGTGTCCAGGGCTGGGTTCCCAGAGCCCCCAGGTGGGAACCCTGCAGACACCACCAAAGACTCACCTCTGGATCCCCCATGGTGCTGTCTTGATTGTTCAATTGTCTGCAGTGATCTGAGCCCCCAGCATAACCCGGGCTTGGAGTTCCTGTGGTGGGCAGGGGGGATAGTACAGGCTGGGTGAAGCACGGGACAACCTGGGGTCTCCCCTTCGTCTCCCCAGGGGGCTGCATTTGATCGAAGTGGGATCCCGAGTGTTAGGAGACAAGGGGGGCGTGGGGGGATGGTTAGAGGAAAGAAGTGTAAGTGGGGGGTTGAGGGGAGGAGCTGGGTTTGCAGGGGTGAGGGCAGGTGTGCAGGGGACGCAGACAGTACAGTGCAGGCAAGATGAAACTTGGCTGGCATCAATCTAAGGGTGTTTGGGAGGATGGGGGTTGTTCTTCAAATAAAATCCTTCCTCCATCCACCAGTCCTCACCTGACTTCCTTTTCTGCCCCTCCCCAGGAATCAGCTAACTTCAGGAGATGACCTGTCCCTCTTTCAGGGAGCTTAGCTGAGAGTCTCCACAAAACACCGTCTTCTCCCAGAAATGGCTGCTTCCTGCTGGGCACAGGGCTGTGGTATCCTTAGGAGTGGCTCACAGGCCCTGGATGATGTGTCCTTGCTTCTCTCCCCTACTCCATCTCGAACTCCATCTCTTGCTCTCTCACCACCTATTCCACTGGCCTGCTTACCAAGCCCTTTCCTGCCCCAGGGCCTTTGCACCTGCTTTGTCCATGTCCTGGATGTCCTTCCCCCGACTTCAGCCCTTCCCACTCCTCAGCCCACACGCCAGCTCTTCAGATTCCCTTCCTGACCACCCTAACAATCACTAACCCAGGCTGTCATTTTCTGGTTTCTTGATTCATTTGTGTATATATGGTCTGAGTGAATGAGTATTAGTCATTTAGTTGTGTCATTCTCTCATGGACTGTAGCCCACCAGTTTCCTCGGTCCATAGAGTTCTCTAGGCGAGAAGACTGGAGTGGGTAGCCAGTCCCTTCTCCAGGGGATCTTCCCGACTCAGGTCTCCTGCATTGCAGGTGAATTCTTTACTGCCTAAGCCGCTAGGGAAGCCCATGTATGGTCTGAGGATGCCTCTAAAAGGGAGGCCACATGAGTACTGAGATCCTGCACGCCTCAATCCCCACCAGATCCACCACTCCTAGCAGAATTGTTGCCACGTAGTAGGCGCTCAATAAATACCTGTTGATTAGTGTGTATAAAATAGATAACTACTGAGAACCTATTGTATAGTACAGCGGATTCTATTCGATGATCTGAGGTGACCTAAATGGGAAGGGAATTCAAAAGAGAGAGGCTATATATATATGTATAACTGATTCACTTTGCTGTAAATCAGAAATTAATGCAACGTGGTAAAGCAACTATAATAAAAATTGGAGAAAAAAAAAAAAAGCATGTTGAAAGACTGGAAGAATGGCTCCCCCTTGCAGGCTTGGGGCTCTGGGGCTGGGGAGCTGGGATGACTAGGACCCAGCCAGGAGGCCATGGAGTTCTGCACCTCCGTTTTCTCAGTTGCGTCTCTAGTGGAGAGGAAGGACGCCCACCCCAGGAATGTGAGGAGCAGCCCAAGAGAACACAGGGGTGCCTGCTATGGCCCAGACTGGGTGTGGAGGGACATCCTTCTCCCCTTCACCCACGGCAGGCTGCATGCCGTGTTGTAGCGACATGGATTTGAGTCAGATTGACAACGTGCCCCTCCACACCTGGCATAGAGCCTGGGAAGCTGAGATGAACAAGACACTGTTCAGCTCTCCAGAAACTCACAGCCCTGGCTGGGGAGACCAGCCAGGAACACATGACAGGTGAAGAGGTTCAAGAGAAAACACGTGCCCCAAACAAATGCAAGCAGTGAGCGGACTGTGCTGTTTGCCGAGGATGTTTGTGGCAGGAGGGAGAGTAGGGCTTGCTGATGGGGTGGGGGGCAGAGTGTCCCTGAAGGAGGGGATACTGGCGCTTGCCCCAGAGCGCTGGTGGGATTTGAAGGGCTGAGAGATGGGAAGGGCTAGCCTAGGTGTTAGGAATGGTGGCAAGAGGCAGAGAGAAGACCATGCCAGAGAAGCCTGGGCACTCTGGAAGGGAACAGGACAGGGAGTATATACAGAAAGAACTGTACACAGAGCTCTGTTTCTGAGGAATAGATAGTCCTGCAGTCCTTAGAGAAGGGGCGTGAGCGAGCCCCTGACCCAAACTGAGGAAGGCAAGGGTCCCTGCCTTGGGGTGGTTGTAGGGCAAGTGATGGCCATGCAGGGAATTCTAAAGTCTGAGGATGGGGTGTCCCTACTGCAGGGGACTTGGCATTCGAGGTCTCTGGTATTGCAGAGAAAACCTTTTCTTTTTTTTATCTATTCGATGATCTGAGGTGACCTAAATGGGAAGGGAATTCAAAAGAGAGAGGCTATATATATATGTATAACTGATTCACTTTGCTGTAAATCAGAAATTAATGCAACGTGGTAAAGCAACTATAATAAAAATTGGAGAAAAAAAAAAAAAGCATGTTGAAAGACTGGAAGAATGGCTCCCCCTTGCAGGCTTGGGGCTCTGGGGCTGGGGAGCTGGGATGACTAGGACCCAGCCAGGAGGCCATGGAGTTCTGCACCTCCGTTTTCTCAGTTGCGTCTCTAGTGGAGAGGAAGGACGCCCACCCCAGGAATGTGAGGAGCAGCCCAAGAGAACACAGGGGTGCCTGCTATGGCCCAGACTGGGTGTGGAGGGACATCCTTCTCCCCTTCACCTACGGCAGGCTGCATGCCGTGTTGTAGCGACATGGATTTGAGTCAGATTGACAACGTGCCCCTCCACACCTGGCATAGAGCCTGGGAAGCTGAGATGAACAAGACACTGTTCAGCTCTCCAGAAACTCACAGCCCTGGCTGGGGAGACCAGCCAGGAACACATGACAGGTGAAGAGGTTCAAGAGAAAACACGTGCCCCAAACAAATGCAAGCAGTGAGCGGACTGTGCTGTTTGCCGAGGATGTTTGTGGCAGGAGGGAGAGTAGGGCTTGCTGATGGGGTGGGGGGCAGAGTGTCCCTGAAGGAGGGGATACTGGCGCTTGCCCCAGAGCGCTGGTGGGATTTGAAGGGCTGAGAGATGGGAAGGGCTAGCCTAGGTGTTAGGAATGGTGGCAAGAGGCAGAGAGAAGACCATGCCAGAGAAGCCTGGGCACTCTGGAAGGGAACAGGACAGGGAGTATATACAGAAAGAACTGTACACAGAGCTCTGTTTCTGAGGAATAGATAGTCCTGCAGTCCTTAGAGAAGGGGCGTGAGCGAGCCCCTGACCCAAACTGAGGAAGGCAAGGGTCCCTGCCTTGGGGTGGTTGTAGGGCAAGTGATGGCCATGCAGGGAATTCTAAAGTCTGAGGATGGGGTGTCCCTACTGCAGGGGACTTGGCATTCGAGGTCTCTGGTATTGCAGAGAAAACCTTTTCTTTTTTTTTGAATGATGTTTTATTATTATTATTATTTTTAAAATATTTATTTGGCTGCACTGGGTCTTAGTTGCAGCATGTGAATTCTAGTTCCCTGACCAGGGATCAAACCAGGGCCCCCTGCATTGGGAGCACGGAGTCTTAGCCACTGGATTATCAGGGAAGTCCTCATGCACCTTTTTTCTCTCCCTCTTCTGTCCTTCCCTGTCCCCTTCTCCTTCCTCTTCTCCCATCTTTAACCTCTCTCTTCCTTCTCTGGGCCTCAAATCTCTAGCCGCTTCTACCTTGTCGACCCTGAGGTGCTAAACACTGCCCTCCGCGGGCAGACACTGTGGTTTTAGTTTCCCATCTGAGAGGAGAGAGGGTCCCTCCAGAGCCAGAGCACCCAGAAACATCCAGGCTGCCTCTCTGCCACTGCCTGGCAGCTCCCAGACTCTCTCTAGGGCTCAGTCACCCCGTTTGTACAATCGGAGGCCCTCCTGCTGGGGTCCTGAGACATCAGTGAGAGAGAAGAGGGGAGAACATAGGTGCCTTGAGCTCCTCTGGGGCCTTAGAGGGTGCACCCACGACCCAGATTGCTGCCCGCCCTAGGCCCAACCACCCCCCAGCTGCAGGCCTTGCTCTGCGTGCAATGAAAAGAGCCTGGACCTCGATGGCTGACTTGTGTCTGGAAGTACACCGAACACCTGGCCAGCCCACCAGCCAGGGCCAGGCAGATAAAGGGGAGTAGGGCATCTGGGGCCCAGGAGGTGGAACACAGCTGGAAGAGACTGGGAGGGACGCGGACCAGATAAGGGGGAAGGCGCCCTGGAAGCACAGGACACCACCTTTGTGTAATCACCCCGACACCATACATAGCTGCGCTGTCTTATCTCTGATGATCCACAAACCACTCTGTGAAGTGGGCAGTGTCATTAGCCACACTTTACAGATGAGAAAGCTGAGGTTCAGAGAGGCTTATCTGCCCTGGTTCCCTAGTAGGTAAATAGCAGAGGCAGCATTAAACCCTGGCCTGTCTTCCTCCAGATACTACTCTAACCATGGTGCTGAGTTGCCTCCCAGAAGATAAAATATCTATTAGCTGGTTTAGTATTAGTGACTAAGAGTGTGGGTTCTGCAGTCAGGCTGCCTGGGTTCAAATCCCAGCCCTGCCACTTACTGTGTGACCTTGGGGAGGTAACTCAACCTCTCTGTGCCTCAGTTTTCTCATCTGTAAAATGGGGGTAATCATAATGCTACCTCAGTTGGTAGAGAATCTGCCTGTAATGCAGGAGACCCAGGTTCAATTCTTGGGTCAGGAAGATCCTCTGGAGAAGGAAATGGCAACCCACTCCAATATTCTTGCCTGGAGAGTCCCATGGACAGAGGAGCCTGGCAGTCTACAGTCCATGAGATCGCAAGAGTAGGACACGACCTAGCGACTAAACCCCCACCACCATAATAGTATTTACCCCATAGACCTGTTGCAGCATTAAGAAAGTTCATACATATAAACCACTCAGAATAATGCCTGGCCAGCCTAGATGGGAAGGGAACTTGGAGGAAAATGGATAGATGTATATGTATGGCTGAGTCCCTTTGCTGTTCGCTTGAAACTGTCACAATATTGTTAATCAGCTATATCCCAATATAAAATAAAAAGTTAAAATGAAAAAAGAGTAGTGCCTGGCACATAAAGAGC